ATGCCTTCAGTGCACCTTGGACTTCTTTCTTCAGGATCATTGGCTGTTGATCATATACTGCCTCTTGAAATGGTTGAACATTGTCCATTTTTTAAAATTTTATTTAATATTTTATTGTGAATTATGTGATAGCTTACATGGGAGAACATTAGCTTTACATTCATCCTATCGTATATAATTTCATTGCCATGGTTACAATCCCCTCCATGCATCATCAATGAACCAAAGGGCTGTCTGTTTGTTTTTGACACAGTGACTCTGTGTATATACCTTCCATCTTCTTTTGATGCATTCTACACCATTCAATATTTTGCCCAGAGAATCCTTCAATATTACAAGTTGAGGTTTGACTTTTTTGTTCAATTATTTCAACTTGAGGAATGCTGAGCATGTTCGTCCATGCTACAGGTTTTTCCACATTTCATTAAAATATTTGACTTTGTCTTCTCAGGCTGACATTTGAAAATTTCTGTTCATCTCTTTTACCTCTTGATTTCTTCCATTTGCTTTAACATCTCTATGCTGTAGAACAAGTTTCAGAGTCTCTTCTGACATCCATTTTGGTCTTTTCCTTCTTTCTTGTTTTCTTAATGACCTTTTGCTTTCTTCCTGTATGATGTTCTTGATGTCATCACACAACTCTTCTGGTCTTCGATCCTTAGTGTCTAATGCATCACAGAAACTCGCTCCATCAAGGGCCTCCTTGAACTACTTCCATATGAGAGCCCTGAACATAGGCAACACCATCTAGAGCAAGCGACTCTAATGTCACATCCCTCCCACACCTACCTTGTGGGCTCCTTGTCTTGTGGGAGGTACCCTCAGAGTTTTCCCCTCTCCAGGTCCTGCATTTAAAAAAATTTTTTTGGAGGGGGATTTTTTTTTTTCTTCCTTCTAGTGTTTCATTGTTTTTGTTTGTTTATCCTGTTTTCCCCTTCTCTTTCCATTCCCTTAATTTTATCATTTCTATCTCTGCTTTTGTTTTTCCTTCTTTTCTTTGGTTTCTCACTTCCTCTCTTCTTTTTTTCCCCCCTTTTGATCTTTCTTTACTAATCTCTACTCTGTCTTTTCATTTTTTTCTCTCCCTGGATTTTCTAAATGTTTTTAAAATTTCTTCCTTTTATTTCCTTTTTTATTTTTCTCTTCTATAGCTTCATTTTCTGGTCACTTTTTTCTTTATTCTTAAGTGGTTTTTAAATGTTTAATTTTCTCTTCCATGTCCATGTACCTCTTTTGTCTTTATAGTTATCATATTCTTCTTTTCTGGTTGTGACCTCTGTTAATTTTTTTCTCTTTATTATTTTATTTTTTCATGGCTGGTTCTTCTTTGTTTTTCTGTTTTGTTTTCTTGTGTGTGTGTGTGAGAGAGAGAGAGAGAAAAGAGAGAGGTTTTCATTTACTACCCAACAAGAGACAGCAACCTTGCCCATACAGCCCAGCCACAACCAAACCCACTGGCCAATAGCTAATATCAGCATCTATAACACCTGATCAAGGATAGACAATAACCAACACCAGTCAAACCCACCCTAAACTGAGGTGCACAAATGGAGAACAAGAACAGTGTACATACTTACATTCTCTAACTACAGCTATAAGAGGCAGTTGGTCAGAGCCTCAGAACACATTGACACACAATCATCAATTTCATACAAATATAATAACCCTAAAATGTCCTGGAGACAACAGACAGTTTTAGGTCACGCAAAGAAACAAGAGAGAATGGCTCAAACAATTGGCCATGGTGCAGAGCCAGAAAACATTTCTGAGGAAGAAAAGGTAGTGAAACTAACAGAAAAATAATTCAAATAAATGATATTTAGGTACCTTATAATCATTGACAGAAAGATTGGGGAAAGCAAGGAGTACAGAGAAAAAACTGTAGAAGAATTAAGTAAGATACTACAAGAACAAACTGACAAAATAAGTGCAAATTTTAAAACAATACAAACCCTTGAATTAGAAATCCAGAAGACTCATACAAAGATTTCAGGAATGGACAATACACTGAAAGGTCAAAGAGGAGATTTAAAGCAATGGAAGCCTGAATTAGTAAGCTTGAAGATAAATCTCTCAATAATAGTATGCTAGAAGAACAACCAAAACAAAGAATGAAAAAATCGGAAGAAAGCCTAAGAGTTCTGAGGGAAACTGTGATATGACTGATCAGAATTCCAGAACAGGAAGAGACAATGAAAAGCACTGAGAAAACTGTCAAAGAGTTGTTGGAAGAAAACTTCCCTAACATCATGAAAGATAAGAAGATAAGCATACAAGAATCAGAATGAACCCTAAACAGGATCGATCCCTAAAGAAAGGTACCAAGACATATCATAACCAGACTTTTCAAAATCAAATACAAAGAAACAAACCTGAGAACAGCTCGGGAAAAAAATGAAAATGTGCCTACACAGGAGAACCAATAAGACTCAACCCTGATTTCTCAGCAGAAACCATGCAGACAAGAAGGCAATAGGATGGCATCCACAAAAGTCTGAAAGAAAAAAACTGCCAACCAAGAATAATATACCCAACAAAGCTGTCCCTCAAATATGATGGCAAAATAAGGACGGTTCCCGAGTAACAGAAATCAAAGGAATATGTAATAACCAGACCAACTTAACAAAAAATGCTAATGGGTGGTCTTTGGACTGAGAACCAAAACCAACAGACAACAATCTAAGATTACTGTACATGGCAACATCACCCAGAATTCAATCCAGATATAGAAGTATTTAACGTAAAGGAAACCTACAAGACTGAAAATAAGGAACCAGAGATATCAATGTATAATGAAGTCAACTACAAAGCAAAAAAAGAAGGAATAGTATAGATATAGAACTTCCAAATGGCTTGAAACACAAGTAGACTTCTAGATAAAACAGATGATTTTAAATAGGGAAAAATTAATAAACTGCAGCATAACCTCAATTAAAATTAATATACCTGCACATCAGAATAATAAAAGAGGAAAACCAGAAAGACTTAGTAAACATTAACATAACAGAAATGAAAATAATGAAAACCCACAAACAAAATGAACTCAGCACAGAAAATTATGTGGAACAAAGAATTTAGCAGCTCCAAAAAAAAAATTTACTGATGAAGATCAAAGAGCACAGCCTTTGGTATGGATTACATCTCAATGTAAAGAAAACAAAAATCCTCACCACTGGACCAATAAACAACATTCTTATCAATGGAGAAAAGATTGAAGTTGTCAAGGACTTCATTCTTCTTGGATCAACTATCAACACTCACAGAAGCAGCAGTCAAGAAATCAAAGGACGTATTGCATTAGGCAAATCTGCTGCACAAGATCTTTTTAAAGTGTTGAAGAGCAAAGATTTCAGCTTGAGGACTAAGGTGTGCCTGACCCAAGCCATAGTATTTTCAACAACCTCATATGCATGCAAAAGCTGGACAGTGAATAAGGAAGACCACAGAAGAATTGATGCCATTGAGTTATGGTGTTGGAGGAGAATATTGAAAGTGCCATGGGCTGCCAAAAGAACCAATAGATCTATTTTGGAAGAAGTGCAGCAAGAGTGCTCCTTAGAAGCCATAATGACCAAACTTCGTCTCTCATACTTTGGACATATTGTCAGGAGGGAACAGTCGCTGGAGAAGGATATCATATTTGGTAAGGTGGGGGATCAGAGGAAAAGAGGAAGACCCCCAACAAGATGAATTGGCCAAGTGGCAGCATCGATGGACTCAAGCGTGGCAACGATGGTGAGGTAGGCCCAGGATCGGGTGGTGTTTCGTTCTGCTGTGCATAATGTCACTTTGGGTCGGTACCAACTTGATGGCACCTAACAACAACAAAAAAGCACGCACACAGAAAAATGACAGTAGTTTCATACCTATTGATAATTACACTGAATGTAATCGGATAAAATGCACCAGCCAAGAAACATGAAAAGCAAAATAGATAAGAAAACAGAATCCTTCAATATGCTGTCTACAAGAGACACATCAAAAAGAAACAGCCTAAATGTCCCAAAGCAGAAAAGTTAAACATTGGTCCATACACACAATGGAATACTACGCAATACTGAAGAATAACGACGAATCTGTGAACCACCTCATAACATGGATGAACCTGGAGGACATTATGCTGAGTGAAATTAGTCAGTCACAAAAGGGCAAATATTGTACAAGACCAATGTTGTGAAAAGTTATGAAAAGGTTTTCTTAATATTATAAACTATTACTGATGGCTTCAGGGGGATGGGGAAAGGAAAATTATTCACGGCTCAAGTGTTGTTGTTGTTATGTGCCATGGAGTCAGTTCTGACTCATAGCGACCCTGTGCAAGGCTTCCGAGGCTGTAAATCTTTACGGGAGCAGAAAGCCTCATCTTTCTACTGCAGAACTGCTGGTAGTTTTGAACAGCCCAATTCATAACCACTATGCTACCAGAGCTCCTTGGGCTCAAGGGTAGACACATGTTAATACAGGTGACAGGGCAGGCAATAGACAACAAGAGGGAGGTTATCAATGAAGAAATGAAGGTAGCGGGAAACACAGGGAGGAACACAATCGTTAGAGGGAACAGGTGTAAATACTGCTAACTGCTGGCACAAGGAGGGGATTGCAATCATTGTAATGAAGCAAAATATATGATTTACTGAATGTAAAACTGATGATCTGCTCTGTAAACCTTCATTCAATTCACAATAAAATTTTTTTTTGAAAAAGTTGTGATAGGTACTATTGAGATAATTAAGAAGTTTGAATATTGCCTACATATTAAATACTCAGATATATAACTATTTTATTAGTGTTAAATTTCTTGAATGTGCTTATAAAGGATGACATCCTTGTTCTTAGGATAAGTTTACTAATGACCCCAGTGGTGTCTTGATGTCTGCAACTTCATTTATACATAAAATTCTGATACTTCAGAAAAATGTCAATCTATACTTGGAAACCCTACATAGGGCCACTATGAGTCAGAACCTACTCGATGTTACTTAACAACAACAACATTCATATGTGAGGGTTTCAAAAAGTTCATGGAGAAATGGAAGTAAAAGATAATGGAATAGTTCCATGAACCTTTTGAAGTCCCCTGATTTGTATAGGGAGTCCTGGTGTGGCGCTGTGGGTTAATGCGCCAGACTGCAAAGCCGTTTGAACTGCAAGGTCAGCGGTTCACGCTCACCAGCTGCTCCTTGGAAACCCTATACAGGGTTGCTTTAGGTCGGAATCAACTCGATGGCACTTAACAATAACAACAATAACAATTTGTATGGAGTTCTCTTGTGGCGCTGTGAGATAAAACACTGGACTGGAAGGTTGGTTTGAACCACAAGGTTGGCAGTTCAAACTCACCAGCCACTTGGAAACCCTGTACAGGGTCACTATGAGTTGGAACTGACTTGACGGCACTTCACAACAACAACAATGTGTGCATTAAAGGGAAAGAAAACTCAAGTGTAGGAATGAAAGTGAACGGTGGAGGTGTATTGATCATTCCATTCCTTCTGTTTTTCTGTTGTTCTTGTTAAGTGCCGTGGAGTCGGTTCCGACTCATAGCAACCCTGCACAGGGTTTCCGAGGCTGTAAATCTTTACGGGAGCAGAAAGCCTCATCTTTCTCCCACGGAGGAACTGGTAGTTTCAAACTGCTGACCTGGAGGTTAGCAGCCCAATTCGTAACCACTACACTACCGGAGCTCCTTCTAGACCCAACGAAAAACTAAAACCGCTGTCACCAAGTCCATCCGAACTCACAGTGACCCCCTCTAGGGGTCCGAGGCTGTCAGTCTTTACAGGAGCAGCTGGTAGGATTAACCTTGTGCTTAGCAGCCCAGTGTTTATCCTACAGCGCCACCAGGCCTTCTCCAACTTTCCCAATAGGTTTGAAATTTTTCAGAATACAAAGCTATGAAGTGGGAGGAAGAACCCCAGCCTTTGGCAATAATACATCTTGTAGCAACTATGGATGTAGTGATTTGCTTACAAAGCACAGGTGCACTGACAAATCCTGCTGGCCAGAGCTCATGCTGTTGAAGATAGAGGTGTGGGCTCAGTACATTACTCTTCAAACCTTTCCCTGGATTTGAAACTCTTGATATCAGTAGTCAGAAGGGAACAAAAGGGAAGGGATAAAATAAAAAGGAGGGTGGGGAGGGCAAAGAAGGAAAGCAAGCTGGATTCCTAAAAAACTGCTTTTGACATCTGAATCCGTCCAAGCCTGAGGCTGGCAGCTAACAGGACTGTGTGGTCAATGCAGCTGTAACCCCTCCCCCAGCACCCTCGGTGGCCCACAATCCTTACCTTCTGCAGCAGGAGCACAATGACGGGGATGAGCCGGGCTCTGCTCTGCTCCAGCACAACCAGGGTGTGGGGCGAGCGGATGAACAGCTTGGTGTGGCCAAAGACCACATCCCCCAGCAACCCGCTTTGCTCCAGGAGGGCACTCACGGCTGCTTTGTCTGAGCCCAGGAGGTGGTTGGGCCAGGTGTACTCACAGGTCATCTTGTACCTGTCACCACATGGACAAAAGGCCATGAGAGGACTCTGGGGGAGGAGGGCATGGAGACCTCTGTCTACACAAGTCTCTGACAAACATCACTCTTGCCTAAGGCCAGCATTCACACAAAGCCAGAAGTCTGAGAAGCGCTGTGCTAGACACCATCTGGGTCTATGCCTCAGATTCCAAAAGAACATGCCCTCAGAGCGAGGGCAGGCACCCGGAACCTGGAGCCGCCACACACTCAGGTGGGGCAGAACGGAGCAGGTATGGGGCGGTGGGCAGGGGCGGGGAGGGGGTCACTAATACCTGAGCAGGAATCGGGGATAAGGCTGTCGGAACGCAAAGCCAGCTCTGCGGACTCTCACATTCTCCAGTAGCCCGAGGTATGCAACTTGGTGGCGGCAGTAGCTCTCATCCAGCCTCCCGGCCACTTTGTCTTCATTGGGCTTGATGCAGCGTACATAGTAAGGCTCCTACAGGAGGTGGCCAGGACAGAAGGGACTTGGTGCAGGGCCCAGGGAAGAGCACCCACAGCCCCCATGGGGTCGGGTAAGTGCTATCCCATAGAGGAAGCAGGCTGGGATCCAATGCCATGCTGTCATGGAGGCGGAGGGGAGACTTGTCAGTGTGGAACAGGGAAGGTTAGGGGAATAGGGGCCATGATTGGCAGACTGAAGGGTTGAGGTCAGAAGGGATGCTGGCGAACACCAGGGAGCTCGTGGGCAGAACAAGGTGTGGGAGCAGTGAATGGGTGGCATCTCCACTACCAGCCCTACCAAGAAACCAGGACAACTGCTCTACTTTCTAACTCAGCCCTACCACGAGATCCTTTGTCCAACTTGGGCTTTGAGAATGAATCACCCAAAGGAATCCATGCCAGTTTCCAGTCCCTGGTGGCTCTTGGAAAGTTCTGGACTGGGACAACCCAACTTGGAGTAGGGTCTCCTCTGGCTCCTTCCTCCCACGGGCAACAGGGCCAGGGGAAGACCAGGGTTCCAATGCCAGTCCTACTTTCCATGTACAAGGTGAATGCCATAGAGCCTAGCTGAGCCCTGAACCCTCATATCTGAGCCTGTGCAGGGGGGCCCTCTGCCCGGAGTGGGGCGGTAGGTGGCAAAGAGGCCACGAGAGCCTTAGAGAGAAGGGTCTGGGCTGAAGGCTGGGTGTCCATACCTTGGAGGCCAGGTTTTCCACCAGGGCCACCATGGAGTTCTTGAAGAGTGTGCCAGCCGTCAGGGGGCGCTTGGTCACCTCCGTGATGCCCTGTTGTCCATCTGGCCACATGGCCCGCAGGGTGGGGTCTGTGCTACAAACACAGGCTATGTGCCAGTTCCCCCAGGGCAGCGGCCACCTCCCCCGTCCTGCCATTTGTGTGCTGCACAGCTGTGAGCATTCCGCCTCTTTCTCCCCGACAAGATGAGGAGATCAAACCCCACTGTCTTGGAGGCCCTTCTAGATCCAGGCCTGTGAATGGTCCCCTTCAGGCACCTACACTCACCTGCTGTATAGTAGCCGCTTAAAGTCCTGGAAGAGTAAATCTCGGTTCTTGTCAATGAAGCCCTCCACAGAATACCTGCAGGGGCCAAGGGCAGTGAGGAAAGGAAGGGGTTGAGCTATCTGATATAGGTGTGGTGGGCACAGGGTGAGAGGGATAGGCCATGGGCCTTTGGGAGCACTGGCCATCACCCTCCTGCCTGCGGCTTCTCTTCTTCTTCCTGTTGCATCTATTTCCTGTTAGTGCCTCTCTCCCTCCTCCCCAGGTTCTTCTCTCCTTTCTCGAACCCTTTGCCTTCGTTTGCATAACTTGATTCCCTCAGGAGATGTTTCTCTCCAGGAAGATGAACAGAGTTAAGCACAAAGCTCTGGAACCCAATGTCCTAGGTCTGCCAATTCCATGTCATGTGACCTTGGACAAGTTGCTTAATTTCTCTGTGCCTCAGTGCATCAAACACTCAGCATGGCACCTATTGAGTTCTGGTAAATATCAGCCGCTGCACTGATAGTGGAGTTCCTGAGTCACTGTCCATTGTGATCTTCTGGCACTGAGACACTTAGAATCATGGTCTCATCCTTGACTCTGCCTGCTGGAAAGCTCCATCTGCACACCTGTAGAGACTTACTTTTAAGTGCCGTCGAATCAGTTCTGACTCACAATGACCTTGTGATTCAAACCGCCCTTGCGGTCCAGTGCTTTATTCCACAGTGCCTATCAGGACTCCAAGAATGTAGGGCATGGCTTTTGTGAAGGGACCTGCCTTCTGGATGCCTCCTCCTCTCTGCTCTACGGTTCATTCTTGTAAAGGACACACTAGACACATGTACCTCTCTGTGAACAACAGGTTGTTGTTAAGTGGCATCAAGTTGGTTCCGACTCATAGTGACCCTGTATAGGGTTTCCGAGGAGTTGCTGGTGGGTTTGAGCTGCTGACCTTCTGATTTCCAGTCCAGTGCTGATCCTCCAGCACCAGGAGGCAGGCCTATAATGTGAGTAATGGAGTCGTGGTGCAGCGCTGCAGGATAATGCACTGGACTACAAGGTTGGTTTGAACTGCGAGGTTGGTGGTTCAAACCCACCAACCACTGACTGGAAACCCTACACAGGATCACTATGAGTCGGAATTGACATGATGGCACTTAACAACAATAACATAATGTGAATAATAACACCCATGAGGAACATGCTTCTCAGAACAACCAACCATAGGAGACCAAAAAGGCAACAACTGCCCAAAAACAAAATTCAAAAGGTAGGAAGGAACAAGATTGAAGGGTAACTGCTAACTGGTAAGCCAGGGAAGAAGGGGAAGAGTGCTTTTACACTGAGGGGATTACAGCCAATGTCTGAAACACAATGTGTGTCAACTGTTGAATGGGAAACGAATTTGTTCCATAAACTTAGGTTCAAACCACAATAAAATGTCAAAAACAAACAAACATAATGACAGGTTAATAACTCTCAGGGATCTGAGGAAAATATGCCAGATGTGATTTCTAAAGAGGAAGAGATGTGGCTGTGAACCCCCTTCACTTGGAGCACTTCTGCCCCAGGCCTCAGTGGAATGGGAACCCCTGGAAGTTTAGGGACTGAGGTGGAAGGCCCTTACGTGACATTCCCCGCATAGTGCTTGATTTGGAAGTCTCGACCGAACTCCATGCTCTTGTCTGTGGGGCAGAGCTGTGGGGACAGGCATGAGGTTAAGCACAAAAGGTGGCAGGGGTGGGGGGAGTGAGGAGAAGGCCACAGTGACCCACCAGGCCCCACTGAGACTCAGATGACATGGTACCCAAATGCCCACCCAGGAAACTACACTCAGTTCGGGACAAGCAGTGATGTGGCCAGACAAGCAGCCAGGAGACTCATATCTGCTCCATGAGGCTCCTCACTCAGGGAGAGGCTGGGGTGGGCACCTGGCGGCTGGTGTAATGTGGGTGATGTCGATGGTGGGTGTCCAAGGTCTGCAGGAAGATCCGGTCAGTGATGGTGCCCGCTGAGCTGCAGGCTTCATCCAGCACTGCCAGGATGCCCCGGTGAGGCCGCTCCACTAGCTCCACAATAGCCATGTTGTTGAAATAGTTGATCTGTGGGGCAGTGGGACAAGTGATGGTCTCAGGGAAGCCAGCCTCTCCCCACCCGTCCCTGAAGCCACTCTCAGCTCCAGCATTGCCCACACCCACTGTGTGCTCTTGAAAAGTGCCCACTCCATGCCAGGCCAGCAAGAACTAGCCCATAGGCCACTCATCATAGGGGATTTCCTGTGGCCCTGCTGCAAACATCCCTCCTTCCTCAGCACAGCGTGACCTTCGTGTGTGCTGCAGCCATGCTTCCAGGGCCGAGAGCAGGTGGATGAACATCTCGGTGTCCCAGTACACTCACACTCTGCCATGCAATGCCTTCTCGCTGATACTCCTCCTGCTCCTGCTTCAGGATCAGCTGGATGAACAGCTGCTGCAGCTTCTCGTTGCAGTAGTTGATGCAGAACTGTTCAAAACTGGGGTTGAGAAGGGACTTTCAGAGATCCTCCATTCAAGTCTGCCGGGGGCTTTGACTGCTGCCTGGATGGCCTCCCACAAACATCTCCCTGTCAGGGGGGTCTGGTGCTGAGACACCCCCCACCTACTGGGCCTCATCCTGCCTCCAGTACTTGTTCTGGGGTGAATTTGAAGGCCTGAAACTTAACCATTTGGGGCTTTCTGTGGCCTCACCCACACACGCTAAAGAGATGTGAGGAGTTATTGGTCTGTGGCATTGTTTAGGCAGGCTTAGAGGGGCTGATAGCTCTGGGAGACAGATAGCCAACTTCCCAGCCAAACTCCCCTGGGACCAAGGCAGAAGGGGAGGCTCAAAGCCGTGAGGATTTGGGGTCAGAGTGGGATGCGGTTGACTGGACCACCTGTTGACAGGGAACACCTCGAAGCCATAGATGTCCAGCACTCCAATGACTGTGTCCTTGCCGTCACGCCGAGGGTCCCGACCTTGGGCTTCCATGACACTGTTAATCTTGTCCACAATCCACTCAAACAGCCGCTGGTATACTGCCTTCCAAAGGACAGAAGGAGGATAGGGGAGTCTGCTGCTGGCTCCTCTGGCCTTGCCTCTCCAGGAAGGCCTTCAGAATGTCCCTCCGACCTTCTGCCCCCGGGTACCTTGGCACAGGCGTCTCGGGCATAGCAAGCCTCGGCCGTGGAATAGCCCTTCTCAATGAGGTCTCTGCCCCCTGAGGCCACCGTGCGGGCCAGTAGGGAGCGGAGCACCAAGTCCCGGGGGGTGGCTGTCAGCTCAGCCACGTACTCCACCAGCACCTCCTCGGCCACCACCAGGTGCCCCTTCTCTGGCCCCTCTTCCTTTGTCTCCACAAACTCGATGTTTCCCTGGTCATGGGGAACCACAATAGAGTACCAGTCAATGGAAACTGCAGCCCTTTGGATGGAGGGGTAAGAGAAGGCAAGGCAGGTGGGCAGGGGTGGAGTCACAGCTTCTGCTCAGACCAGAGGGTCAGCCATTCCCCTGAACCACAGTTACAGTTAGGGGCACACACAGGTGCATTCACAAGGCCAAAAAGGTTATGCAAATGACTACACTGATAATCCCGGACGCTACAGGAAATCTGTCTCAGAGAGCAGTGGGCCTCAGAGGAGACAAGTCCTCGGAGTCCTTTGAGACAAGACAAAACTCAAAGAAGTCACATAGCCTGTAAAGGACGGGACTGGGAGGCAGTCAGCACAGTGCTCCAGCTATGACCATCCCCTGACCACAAATGCATCTTAAGGTTATCTACCAGATATGACCAAGCACACACAGGCCTGACCTTGTCCAAGTTCTGGGGTTCAGAGGCCAAGCTTAGAAACTGGCTTTGAGGGAGCAATGGACACAACTGAGTTCAGTGATGGGAGGAGGCTTGGGAACATCTCTGGGAATTCCAGGTCAGCCCCTTCCTCTGGGTGACTCCCAGCCAATGACCCCACATGGGAGACCCATTTCCCGGTCCTCTCAGGCTCACCAGGTGCAATATGGCGGCGAGGATCCGGTGAATAGATGCTATTTCCTTGGGACTGAAGCCAATCACCCCCATGGCCTGGGTCACTGCTTGGTGGTTCATCTCATCACTGTTCAAGTTCTGGGGGAGAAAGGGGTTACCACCCCAATGCCATGCTGAGCCCTGTTTCCAACAACCAGTACTCTACCAGGCCCAGTGCACCCCCAGTGTCCTCAATGAGCCCTGTGTCCACCCCCCAGAGCCACACTAAGCACACTGAGTACTGCTCCCTCCACCATGGGCCCAGGGCACCACCTAAGCCCAGGTCCATGCCTGGCCTGAGGCCTTGGTGCCCCATGCTAGCATGTAGCTGCCCCCCTACTCACACTGAGTCCTGCTCCCTGGCGGGTAAAGTTGTACAGAGCAGGGTTTCTCTGTAAGTGCAGTTCTTGAAGCAACTTGTCCTCACTCCCCTGCAGCATCTAAAGGGAGCAGAGGCCCTTTAGTTAGACCTGTGTTCCCTGGGAGCCCTTACACACAGAGAGAAGCAGAAACACAGGTGGGCATTGACCCATTGGCCCAGCAAACATATGATGTCTCCAGACTCGGCCTCTGTTCTCAGTGTTTACACTTCAGTTAGGATTACAGATTCTCAGTGTCTGCTGCAACGGAGCACAGTGCACCCCGGCCTGGGAGGACTCTCTCTGAGGATACCAAGGTGGGTGGAGTTGTAAGGAGGGAGGTGAGATGCTAGATATAAGAGTGTTTCCTCTTCTGGGGGAGATGTCACTGAAGAGGTACCCAAGGTGGGAGCAGGGAGACTGTGAGGGTGCTACAGCAGTCTGGGCACGAGGCCACCTGGTCTAAGAATTGACTACAACACCTAGTCAAGCAAATAAGCCGAAAGCTGGGTTATATGAAGAAAAACATGGCATCAGGATTGGAGGAAGAGTCATTAATAACCTGTGATATGCAAATGATACAAACTTACTTGCTGAAAGTCAAGAGGACTTAAAATATTTACTGATGAAGACCAAAGACCACAGCCATCAGTATGGATTGCATCTCATTGTAAAGAAACCAAAAATCCTCACCACTGGACCAATCAACAACATTCTTATCAACAGAGAAAAGATTAAAGTTTCAAGGACTTCATTCTCCTTGGATCAACTATCAACACTCATGGAAGCAGCAGTCAAGAGATCAAACGACATATTGCATTAGGCAAATCTGCTGCACAAGACCTTTTAAAGTGTTGAAAAGCAAAGATGTCTGCTTGAGGACTAAGGTGCGCCTGACCCAAGCCATCATATTTTCAATAACCTCATAAGCATGCGAAAGTTGGACAGTGAATAAGGAAGATCATAGAAGAATTGATGCTTTTGAGTTATGGTGTTGGAGGAGAATATTGAAAGTTCCATGGGCTGCCAAAGGAACCAACAGATCTGTGTTGGAAGAAGTGCAGCCAGAGTGCTCCTTGGAGGCCAGGATGGCCAAACTTCGTCTCTCATACTTTGGACATATTGTCAGGAGGGACCAGTCGCTGGAGAAGGATATCATGTTTGGTAAGATGGAGGGTCAGAGAAAAAGAGGAAGACCCCAATGAGATGGATTGGCAAAGTGGCAGTATCAATGGACTCAAGCATGGCAACAATAGTGAGGTTGGCCCAGGACCGGGCAGTGTTTCATTCTGTTCTACATAGGGTCACTATGAGTTGGTACCAACTCGATGGCACCTAACAACAACAACAAACAACACCTAGTAACTAGTCCCTGGAAAATTCTGTTGGTGTTGCCAAACATACATATCCAGATTCAAAAAAGCAGTAAAAGGCATTCTTGTAACAACTGGGGAAATATAAACACGGACTGGATATTAGAATTAGCTCAAATTATGGAATTATTGCTAGTTTTCTAATTTATGAAAGATAAAGACCTTATCTTAGGAATTAAGTATTGAAGTATTCAGGGTTTAAGTTAGGAGGTTTGCGGAGACTTCAGGCAAGATGGCGGACTAGGCAGACACACTGCACAGACCCGCCACAGCAAAGACATGAGAGACCCAATGAAACAGGTGATCCTGGATCTCTGGTTTCAGAGGAAAGGATAGAATAGTGGGTTGAATACCTATTAGTAGAAGAAACTGAACAAAAGTGGCAAGAGAGGAGACAGACATGGGAATTATCAGCTGGCATGACACAACGTGACCATCTTGGACTTTTGCAAGTAGCATTCAACTGAGACAGTGGCCTGACAGTACACATGCATACCAATGGCTGGCAATGAGAAAGATGAGAGCTTCCCTTTCTCCCCACACCCTCCTGGTGACCAGTAGCATGGCCAGCCCCCAGTCGTACCCATCAGCACCCTAGCCTGTTCTGCCTGAAGTCAGAACCACGTCCTTATGGATCAGGCTCCTAGTGCACCAACCCCCCTTCTCCTAGAGGTGCATGAACTCTGCCTCAGCAGGTCAGCAGAATGCACAATGCGGGTCTCTGGCCACCCCTGGGCAGCCAAGAACTCCTTCAACAACCAGCTGCCCTACCCCTCACAGCTCTCAGGGCCCAAAATTGTTGCTTCCTCTGAGCCATCACCAACAACTTCCAGATCAGGTGACCTGAACCTAAATACCATCTAGGCTTGAAGGAACTCTGTCTAGGACTAGGGATCCCATACCCTTACCCTTTCCTCCTATCCCCACCCCATAAGCTCCTTGGCTGGCAGAAGGCACTGGTTCATACTGGGTGCCCCTCCCCATCCCAGTTTTCTCCTTTCTGGCTCCTGCCCATTTCCCCCAGTTTCCTTGTTCTTGAATTATTTGTTCTGCATACAAATTGAATGTGTATAGTGAAAGAATACAACTCTGGAGCACACCTTTCCTGATTTTAAACCATTCAGTGTTCCCTCGTTTTGTTCTAATGACTGTCTCTTGGTCTATGTACAGGTTCTTCATAAGCACAATTAAGTGTTCCAGAACACTCATTCTCCACAATGTTGTCCTTTCTTTTTAGTTATGAATTTTTTTCTTGCTGTAGTTTGCCTGCTTCCCCTCTCTTTTCATTATTATTTTCTTGTTTTGCTGTTGTTGATTCTTGTTTTTTTTTTTCCCTTTTCTCATCAGATGGGAGACAGCAGTCCTGCCCACACAGTCCACCATACCTGTGTCTCCTGCAGCCCCGCCCACTGAGCAAGGGCTACTACCAGCTCCTGTACCACCTGAACACCTGAACATTAATAGACTGCAGCCAACACCAGCCAAGCCCACCTTCAGCTTTGTTATAGGAACAGCAAACAGAGACCTGCATATACAATTCTAGTCTCTATCATACCACCTGGAGTGCCTAAGATTGTATATTATTGTTCCTAAGAACACACAGGCATACATTCATCAATTAAACACAAATACAATGATACCGCAATGTCTCAAAGACAACATATAATTTCCGTTCACACGAAGAAACAAGATGGAGTGGCTCCAGAAAGTAATCAAAATGCAAAGCCCAAAATCCTTTTGAGGAAAAAATTACATTGGAGCCACCTGACAGGAAATTTAAAAGAATGATATTTAGGTACTTTCAAGGAATTGAGAGAAAGATCAAGAAAACTGCAGGTGAAATCAAGAAAGCTTTAGAAGGATTCAGGATAACACTGTAAGAACAAAATGACAAAATAAATTAGAAAATTAGAAATCATACAAAGACAGCAAATAGAAATCCAGATGATTAATACTAAGATTTTAGAAATTGATAATACAATGAAATGGCACGGAGTAGAAATGAACCCATGGAAGGCCGAAATAGTGAGCTTGAAGACAAATCTCTCAATATTAATCTGATAGTGGAACAATCAGAAAAAATAACAACAACAAAAAAAAGAGTCCAGAAATTATGAGGGACATCATCAAGAGGAATGACTTACACATGACCAGAATTCCAAAACAGAAAAAGGCCCCCCAAAAAATCATGCAGAAAATTGTTAAAGAGTTGTTGGAAGAAAACTTCCCTCATATCAAGGTGAGAAGATACGCATTCAAGAAGCTCAATAAACCTCAAAGAGTACATACCCCAAAAGAAGATTGCCAAGACACATTAAACTTTCTGAAACCAAAGACAAGGAAAGAATCCTGAGAGCAGCTCAGGAGAAAAGGTTTCCAACAAAAGAGAGCCAGTAACAGTAAGCTCTGATTTCGCAGTAGAAACCACATAGGCAAGAAAGCGATGAGATGACAGAGGCATATATGACTCTGAAAGAAAAAGGAAATGCCAACCAAGAATCATATATCCTTCAACTATGACAGTGAAATTAGGACATTTCCAGATAAACAGAAATTGAAGGAATTTGTTAAAACCAGACCACCTTACAAGAAATGCTAAATAGAATTCTTCCAACAGAAAACAACAACCTGTGATTAATATGCAAGACAATATCAGCCAGATGTAGAAATATTCAAATTAAAACAAACCTCCAAGACTGAAAACAGGGAACTAAAGATACCAATTTGTAAATGAAGACCATTAGAAAGTAAAAAAGTGGGAATAGTGTAAAGAACTTCTAAATGAAGAGGAAGCCAAGAAGATTTCAAGATAGAGACACTGTTTTAAACTTGGAAGAAATTAATAAATTACAGAGCAGCCTCAGAAAAAAAAATAAACCTCAACAAAATAAAAAAGAGGAAAATCATAAATATTTCACAAACACTCAAACAACAGCATCAATGAAAATGTCAATAAAACCCAGAGGAAATTCTGTGGAACCAACAAATCAGCAGCACCCTATTTAGGATGTTTGCAACTTCTGAATAGTTCAGCAGCGGCAATAGTGATGGAAATACGGTAAACATAACAAGGCTGACATCTGAGAGGAGGGTTACTTATTCCTCCCATTTTTCTGTATATGTAAAAATTTTCATAGTAATAAGTTCACATAAAAATGATCTATAAAGCTTTTTATACAGTAAAGTTTTACTCCACCACCCTAGATTTTCCTGACTCCTGCCTCCCTCACCTGGTCTCTGGTCTCACATCCATTTCTGGAACTCCTGCCATGCCCGGGTCCTATAGTCCTATAGTTCATGGTGGTCCTTTTCAACATAGCTCAGATGGGATCCTCCCCTGTTCCTCTCACTTAGTGTGAAGGTCAAGCACTGGCAGCGCCCTGGGCTCCTGATACTCCTCCACACTCCTGCGCCTGACCCCAAAGCCATCTTCCTGGGACCAACCCTCCCCCACTGTTGGTGTCGTGGTCTCCACTCTACTTCTTATATCTTCTTGAGAATTTTATAATTACTTATCTGTCAGTCTGACAAGCGCAGTACGTTTGTCTGCATTATTCGCACTGAGGTATATTCAAGACCAGGAATGCACAGGATGGTCTGGATAAAGGTGTCTGTGGGGCAGCGCGGGAGACAACCCCCACTGGCTTTGCACTGCACCTCCACCTCCACTCACCTGGTAGAAGGAGTGGAAGTTCCTCTCGCCCACGTGCTGCTTGAGGACCCGGGACTGAAGAAAGAGGGAGAGCTGGAATCCGTATCGTAAGAGCCCACCCAACAGGACCCATTCAGTATGCGTAATGCAGAGGGATCTGACCCCCAGGCCCAGACCCCCATACCAAGCTGTGGAGATCCTGGGGCCCAGAGAAGGCAGTAGCCTGATCCTGGTCAAAGAGTCGGCCTGACCCTCAAAATCTCCAACCTGAAGAAGCAGTTTTTTCCCAACCACTAGTGGGCCCTCCCGGTACCAGCAGATAGCTCCCTTCTGGGGGTCGGGAAGATGGGACACAGGGCCTCCTCAATCAGCCTGCTCAGGTTCTGCAACCGCTTGTCCCACCTTCTCCAGCAGGTAGCTGTGGATGTGGCCCCCAATGGGGTCTCCCTTGAAGTTGAAATTGATGTCCATGTACTTGCCAAAGCGGCTGGAGTTGTGGTTACGACTGGTACGCGCATTGCCGAAGGCTTCTAGCACACAGGTAGATTTGAGCAGCACATCCTTGACCCTTTGTGGGAGCAGAAGGGGGCTGTGTTATCAGGGTGCGGGTGCAGGAACTATGCTGTAAAATCTTCCCCACAAAAGTCAGAAAGTCTCAGGCATCCGTAAATGGATCTACAAGGGCTGGGTTTGAGTCCCAGTACGGCTCATTTGTTTACCTCACTGCTTGTTGTTGTTGTTAAGTGCCATCGAGTCAATTCTGACCAATAGCGACCCTGTATAGGGTTTCCAAGGAGCAGCTGGTGAGCTTGAACCATTGACCTTGCAGTTCAAACGACTTTGCAGTCTGGCGCATTAACTCACAGCGCCACACCAGGACTCCTACCTCAATGCTAGATGCTGGAAAATTTAGTTTTATATGCTGATACTGGGCAGCTTGTGTTGAGAGACCGCTCATTAACCCTATTCAGTAAACGCTGGATCGTGTTTTCCTTAGAGTGATCTCCTCACCCTGTCCAGACATCAGCTACATCTGTCGTTGGCACTGCTTGCCCACTGCATCTGCTCCAGCCTCACCTCATTTCACCCAGACTCTCAACAGGAAGAGACTGAGGCACCAGTCATGCACAGGAAGCCACTTTTGCAAGGCCCCTCAGCTGGGAGCAGCAGAGAACCCCACCCCAGTCCAGATGATCTGCCCTGCATTCTCCATCTTCCCTGACCTTGGTGTGGCCAGCTGCTCCAGGCTTCTGGTTCAGTCAACACCTTTCTGCTGTGTCTTCACGCTTCTCTCCCTACATCTTTTGTCCATCGCTGCTCCTAGCTTGCAGCAAGATGCTGTCCCTTCAGGGTCTCATTCCCCTTGGGTGTGGCCTACCTATGTCTTACCTCTGACATTTCCTTAAGGGACAGCCCCACTGGCTTCATGTTAAGGAGGGATCTTGACTGAGTGGGGCCCAAGCACTGTTGTCTTTCTCCCTGGTCTTAGGTTCCAGGGTGAAGGTGCAAGGCCCAAGTTACCCCCAGAGTGCTCCCACCCTCCTGCCACTCACCTCTCCACCTCGGTCCTCTGGCTTGGGTTAGTGACAGCCGCAATGTATTGCATGATGTGCTTGCTTGCTTCTGTCTTCCCAGCCCCGCTCTCCCCTGCCAGCAAATAGATGCGTCAGTGAAGCTGTACCACCAGGTTGAACCCACCGGCCAAGTCTGCTTAGATCAGTCTCCTGTCCCATTCCTTAAACCCTAGAACTATATTAGGAGTTTATTATAGGAGTCCTGGATGCCCCTCTGCCCCCACCCATCATTTACAAATGAGAACCCTGAGGCTGAGCAAGTTGTGGGGAACTGAACCACATCTGTGGCCATGTCTGCCTGACCTGAGATGACAATGCAGGTGTCTCTAGCCCGGCGCTTCATGGCCTTGTAAGCAGCATTGGCCACAGCATAGAGGTGGGGTGGCCGCTCGTAGAGTTCATGGCCCTGGTACTGGGCAATGACCTCAGGCCCATAGAGTGGCAGTTCTTGGTAAGGATTCACAGACACCAGTACCTCGCCGATGTAGGTGTAGATGCGGTTCTTCTCAAACCTACAACAGGAGAGGGTCAGTCCTGAGCACTCAAGGGCTGCCAGGGGACAGGCAGGACTCTTGCCTCAGCAGCCTCATCCCAAGGTTCGTTTCTTAAGTACTTGGCCTAAATGGGTGGAGGTACCACGCTCCACAGCATCACGACCTAGTCCCTCTCATCCTTAGGATGAGTGGGGAGATGGGTGCACAGAGGAGTAAGGCACTGGGACAGAAAGGCATAGGGGGTACCCGGGACCCTTTGCTGATAATGCAGTCAGGGCCCCCAGGCAGCCAGGGATCAAAACCAACCATCTTATAAAGAAGAAAACAAACCAGACATGGGAACTGGCTTGTGTGAATGGCACAGAGGGAGCTGGTGGCTAATCTCAGCCTGACTCTCCTGAGGTGGACTCTTGAGGTAAAGGCGGCTAGAGATCAACCCCGTGCTCCAAGAAAAAAGGAGATCAAAGGTGTGGGTGTAGGAAGAGGACACCCCAGGCTGTTTCCTGTGTTAAAGGAGAGAGACTGAGGGAAGGCGGGGCCAGCCACACCTAGACAAAGTGTGTGTGGGGATGTGGCCCCTAGAGGAGTGGTCCTCAGTCATCTGGCACCTGCTCTGTCCCTCCAGCCCCCAATCCAACACACACTCTTCTCAAACTTCCCAACTCTGAGACTGAGGGAAGGTGGGGCCAGCCACACCTAGACAAAGTGTGCGTGGGGATGTGGCCCCTAGGCAGTGGTCCTCAGTCATCTGGCACCTGCTCTGTCCCTCCAGCCCCCAATCCAACACACACTCTTCTCAAACTTCCCAACTCTTCTCAAAAACCAGGGGCCTGGGAGGGGCCTGAGTTAGGTCTGTCCACAGCTTTCTCTCAGAAATTTTCCTGCTCAAGGTAGACAAGTGGCTCAGCGGCTCCTTAACTTGGGTTCCCTCTGTTCTGGGGTCCTGAGTCCTCAGCCCTTGCCCTGCCCACTCTACCACCAGCATCCACGGGCCTCTCTATGTGCTTCACTTCAACCTCAGGAGACCTGCTGTTCACACATCATTTTCTTATGTCTTGTAAATCAGTGTTTATGAGAATTAGATGAAATCATGCATATAAAGTGTGTAGTCTTGTGCCTGACACAAAACAAATATTGTGCAAAGACATCTTCTCTGTCCTCCACCTGCCTCTATCACTGTGGCCCAGCCTTATGCATCTACCACCTCATCATTGCCCCCCCACTCCTGCTTTAGCCCACTCTCCTGCCTGCCCTCCCTCTATCCTTTGTGGCAAACTCCTACTCATCCTTCTAAACCCACCTCAAATGTCCCTTCTTCTAGGCTTCCTCCTCTGCTCTGACATTAAATATCTTTCCTAAGAGCAAGAACCTCAATCCATTGAACCTCTCTGGAGATGAAACTATCAGGTGGGGAAGGGAGAGGGGCTGGAAGAAGGTCAGGGAGAAGCTTCCTGACCTGGCACCTAGCAGCCTAAGGTGGAGTCAGGTAGAAAGGTGCAAGGCATCTGGCGTGTCTGGATACTATCCTCTGCTTGTTAATTCATAAAGTCTGGGCAGAGGATGAAGTTAGCTGTGCCGGGTGTAGGGGCCTCGACCAGCTGTGATAAGGACGGATGTTCTTCTCGGTTCTTGTGCACACTGTCTTGTTCTTCCTGCCTCTCAGTTTCCCCAGGAAGCCCCTGTGGGTGGGCTTGAAGAGTCTGTCCAACCTAGAGTGGCTGGCATGTGTGGTTGCTGCCTCACCCCTCACCCACGGAGGAATCAGTGCAACGTCTTCCTCCCGTGACCCTGGATAAGGACTGAGTAGGGAACCCACCCCAGGCTGGGTCTACCTGAGCTTCAAGTTCTTCATGAAGTCTTCCATGGTCACCTGGTCCAAAAGCACGAAGTCAGGCTTGCCATAAGCAGGGTCATTATCGTCCTCCATCCTGCTAGCGGAAGTACCCAAACCGGACTGTCCTGATCTGGGCCAGGCTGGCAGGAGGGGCTCCGTCTCCTAACAGTCCCCTGCCCTTACTCTGTTCCTCCCCAGCAGGGTGTGAAACAGGAAGTGGGTTCTGGCTCCACTGCTCTCTCCCTCCCCCATCCAAGGTGCTCTGACCCCTACTTCCTGGTTCTTCCCCATGATAGAGGGTGTGTCTAACGGTTCAACCCACTTGCATGCCAAGACTGAGGCTCCGGGTGCTTGGGTCCCCCCCACAAGGTCTTCTGCCTGCTCTGTAAGTTCCTGCCCATGTGTGTGGTTTCTCTAACTCCACCCGGCCCCACCCTAAACAATAGCTAAGACTTAGTGGCGTGAACTCTGGCAGCCTACTCAAATCACCAGCAGAGCTACTTTTTAAAATGTCTGGTGTCATTGTTGAGTCAATTCCGACTCATGTTGTTGCTGTTAGGTGCCATTGAGTCGGTACTAACTCATAGCGATCCTGTGCACAGCAGAAGGAAACACTGCAAGATCATGGGCCAGCCTTACTATTGTTGCCACACTTGAGCCCATTGATGCTGCCACTTTGCCAATTCATCTTGCTGGGGTCTTCCTCTTTTTCGCTGACCCTCCACCCTACCAAACATGATATCCTTCTCCAGTGACTGGTCCTTCCTGACAATATGTCTGACGTTTGAGAGACGAAGTTTGGCCATCCTGGCCTCCAAGGAACACTCTGGCTGCAATTCTTCCAACACAGGTCTGTTTGTTCTTTTGACAGCCCATGGGACTTTCAATATTCTCCTCCAACACCAAACTCATTAACATCAATTCTTCTACGGTCTTCCTTATTCACTGTCCAGCTTTCACATGCATATGAGGTTATTGAAAATACCGTGTCTTGAGTAAGGAGCACCTTAGTATTCAAGCTGACATCTTTGCTCTTCACACTTTAAAAAGGTCTTGTGCAGCAGATTTGCCTAATGCAATATGTCCTTTGATTTCTTGACTGCTGCTTCCGTGAGTGTTGATAGTTGATCCAAGAAGAATGAAGTCCTTGAAACCTCAATCTTTTCTCCATTGATTAGAATGATATTTATTGGTCCAGTGGTGAGGATTTTTGTTTTCTTGACATTGAGATGTAATCCATACCGAAGGCTGTGCTCTTTGATCTTCATCAGTAAATGTTTTAAGCCCTCTTCACTTTCAGCAAGCAAGGTTGTATCATCTGCATATCGCAGGTTGTTAATGAGTCTTCCTCCAATCCTGATGCCATGTTTTCTTCATACAACCCAGCTTCTCAGCTTATTTGCTTGTAGTACTGGTTATATGTCAAACTCACCAAAATAAGCACCAGATGAATGGCTGTTGCTGTTGTTAAGTGCTGTCAAGTCGGTTCCAATGCATAGTGACTCTATATAGGGTTTCTGAGGAGCGGCTGGTGAGCTTGAACTGCTGACCTTATGGTTCAAACCGACTTTGCAGTTCAGCACATTAGCCTGCAGCACCACACCAGAATTATATGTAAATTGCACCTTATTTTTTTTTTTTTTCTTAAGAGAATATGTCCAGGTCCCTTTTCAGGTTGGACTGATTTGGAGTGATGCAGCAGGCCTATGCCTAACCCTGTGAAGGGGGTCAGTGCCGCAATTTCCCATATGAGTGACCTGAGTGTCCCTTCAACATCATGCCGTTTACACTGCCCGCCAGGGCCTCTGGGATTCTGTTTCCTAGAAGTTAGGAGTCAAGGAGGGGCATCTAGTCGGTGTTCTCTGCATACATCCCGCCACCCCCTTATCAATTCATCCGTCCATCAGATCTGCTCTGCCACCCGGGGACCAGGCAGAGGTGCTGAGGCCTAGAACAGGCACAGAATTTGTCCAGGAAATCTGCTCAAGGTAACACACCTAAACACAGGCAGCACTGGCCCCAGACTTGACACACAGGTGCCGCTCCTCCCAGTCCCTCCCTCTCCCCTTCCTTCTTTATTTCAGATTTTGGTCAAGCTCATACCAGTTTATCTGACAACTATCTTTAAACCAACTCACTGTTTAAACTTATCTTTGAAACATAACTGATATGTAGATTAAGGTTATTTTTTTCCCCCCTCACATACCTAACAAAAATTTCAAGTACTTATCCAAATACCTGTGAAAACCTCACTGAACACCATCACCAATAAAGGAAGCGTAGGTATTAGATAAAGCTTTTGAAAACAGGGCTCTGGCCCTCCCCTATGCCTGGGTTCCTCCTGGGCAAATTTTGATCAAGTTTCACTCTTGCAAGTTCTAATAAGCAGGCAAAGCATACTCCAACCCCACTCTCACCATTGTCTGGGTGTTTTTGAAGGACTTCCCCAACCAAAGTTCAGATAACTGGGAATTTTTAGGCTGGATCTTGTCCCAGTTCCTATCCTTTTTGCATGGTTTCACTTCCCCAAGGGAATAAAGCAGACCCAAACCCTCAAGAGGTGTTTATAGGAATGGTTCAAAGAAGTGGGCAAGACTGTTTTCATATAAAACTTTATGGACACAAATTTTAATTACATCAACCTTCACATGGTACAAAATATTTTTTCAGCCACTTAAAAATGATAAAGCCATTCTTAGCTCACAGATTTGGTTCATGGGTGGAAGTTTGCCAACCCTTGCTTTAGACACTTGTTGCGGTCTGTACTGACTACGGGACTTCCAACACTAAATTCAGTGTGTCTTACTCAGGCCCTAGGAAAAGTCCCTGTCTTCTCAGGCTTGCACTCAGGATGTTAGCTGGCCAAAGAGGGCCGAGCCCCGTGTGAGGAAGCCAATATTCAAGACAGAGTCAATATCAAAGATGCTGGTCTTTGAGAACATGAAAGCCAAGGTTATTCACAAATTAAGGAAGCTCAGAGGTGTCTCCTCTAATCCTGAGCTCTCTGTCTCTAGTGGTGGTTATGTGCCGTGGAGTCAGTTCCGACTCATAGTGACCCTGTACAGGGTTTCCAAGGCTGTAAATCTTTATAGGAGCAGAAAGCCTCATCTTTCTCCCGCAGAACAGCTGGTAGTTTTCAACTGCTGACCTTGCGGTTCTCAGCCCGATTCATAACCACTATGCTACCAGAGTTCCCTCCCTGTCTCTAGAGCAGGCTACAATTCTTAGAAATTTCAGACAGAGAAAAGTTATACATACTCATGCTAAGTTAGATGTATATATACTATGGAGCTACACTAATGCATAGAGATTGTGAACATGGGTCTTCTTGTGTCATATCTTCGGAAGAATGGCAGCCTTAGTTGCACAGTCGGGGATACTTCCTGAGGGATACAACATAAATCCATCCATTGGACACATTGGGTCATGGTGCGGAGCTACAGGGTAATGGACTAAAAAGTCATGGTTCAAGCTCACCAACCACTCCTCAGAAACCCTATACAGGGTCACTCTGAGTCAGAACCAACTCAACAGCACTTAATGACAACAACAATAATAACACTGTCAAAAGTGTAATCCGCTGACTAGCTCTGGTTTAGGCTGCTGCTGACCAGTGGTCCTGAAACACAACTTGTAGGAAGTTAGTTTACATATCTTAGATTGTGGATAGATGGGGAGTGAGGGAGGGTAGACTCTTCAGAACAGCCAATTTGCATGATTAGGAGCAGAGTAGGGGGCCAGACCCTCTGCTGTTAGCTGGCAGCAATGTCATCTCCCTACAAACAATCAGATAGAATGTCAGCTCCTTACCTGTTCACTGCTGAGAATTCCAGCTCTCTGTTTTGACTTCCTTACAACGACACCCCTTTGCAGTGTGACAAGTAGGGGGTACAGTGAATGTGGTGGAACAGACAGGTGAATGAAGGTGGTGGATGCCCTCAAATGGAAGGACTTAGGGAGGGGCTGCCATGCCCCAAACACTAGGGACTGAGATTCAGTATCTAATCTAAATCTGCCCCAAGAAGCCTCTGTCTGCCTGGCCCCATTCCGCAGCAGATGCTTGTCTCCTTTTCCTCCTCTTCCTTGATGCTGTCCATCACACTAATGGGGGCGGGCTTTTTCTTGGCTCCTGTCACAACAAGGTATAGTAACTGGAGCCTGGTGGCTGACGTTGGCAGCAATCTCTAGTCCCATAAGACCACCCCTGTGTTTCTCTGCCCCATTCCTGCAAGCTGGTCTGTACCAGCTTAGGAATTCATTTTTAAATTTTGTTTTTAGAAAACAAATTAAAGATCTAAATTTATGGAAAGACATCCTATGTTCATGAACTGGAGAAGTTAGTATTGTTAGGATGTCAGTACCATTCAAAGCACCTATAGATTCAACACCATCCCTGCCAACATTCCAACAGCTTTTTAAAAATTATTTTTAACAAAAATGAAAAAGCTGATCTTCAAATTCATTTGGAATTGCAAAGGGCCCCAAATAGCCAAAACTACTTTGAAAAATAACAGAGAACTTACTATTCCCTATTTTGAAAGTTAGTATAAAGGCACAGTAACCAAGGCAGTGTATCACTGGTACAACATAGATATATAGACCAATGGAACAAAATTGAGAGTCCTTAAAGAAACCCAGACATTGATTTTTGATAAGGATGCCAAAGCCTCCCAGAATGTGGAGACTGGTCCCGTCCTTACACTCCCATGTCTCCCTTCTCTTCTCCTCACTGGTGCCCCTCAGCACTCTCTTTGAAGTTAGCCACAGGAGGAAACCAAGTCATAGCTCACAAGTTGAATGGACAGTGTCCCGCAGACTGCCAAACAGGCAGATGCCAGTCGCAAGTTTGGGGAAGTTCACCTGACACCCCAATCTGATTTGTTGTTTATCCAATCAGGACTGGTTTCCCATTACCACTTCAGGATGCTGGTTAAAAGCTTGGGAGTCCACACAACACCCTTAGTTTGTGGCCTCTTGGTTCCTATTGCCCCTTCAAGTTGGATCATTTACTGGAACAGTTCACAGAACTCACATACAGCAAACTATACTTACAACCACTGGTTTATTGCAGATGAAAAATGAAGCAAATAAAG